GCCTGTGGACAAAGCTGGGGGGGTCAGTGGTACTCACCATCCCAGGCCTGGCCATGACCCACCCCCTCTCCCACAGCCAGACCCCCGCCCATCACCTCCCCGCCCTGATGTGTGCATGGCTGACCCTGAGGGGCTCAGTTCAGAGTCTGGGAGAGTAGAGAGGCTACGGGAGAAGGAGAAGGTTCAGGGGCGAGTAGGGCGCAGGGCCCCAGGCAGGGCCAAGCCAGCGTCCCCTGCACAGCGTCTGGATCTTCGAGGAAAACGATCACCCACCCCTGGTAAAGGACCTGCAGATCGAGCATCCCGGGCCCCACCCCGACCACGCAGCACTCCAAGCCAGGTCACCCCAGCAGAGGAAAAGGATGGACACAGCCCCATGTCCAAAGGCCTAGTCAATGGACTCAAGGCAGGACCGAGTAAGTATATCATGAAAAGTGGCAGAGAGTGTGGGTTAGGGCTGGGTGTGAGCTGGTCAGGCTCCAGGAGTGGGAAAGAGGAGAAGGTTGCCAAAACGGTTCTACTTTTCCTCTACAATGAATGCTGGCTTGTCTCTGCAGTGGCCTTGAGTTCCAAGGGCGGCTCTGGTGCCCCTGTATATGTGGATCTCGCCTATATCCCGAATCATTGCAGTGGCAAGACTGCTGACCTTGACTTCTTTCGTCGAGTGCGTGCATCCTACTATGTGGTCAGTGGGAATGACCCTGCCAATGGCGAGCCAAGCCGGGCTGTGCTGGATGCCCTGCTGGAGGGCAAGGCCCAGTGGGGGGAGAATCTTCAGGTGAGTAGCAAAGGACACCAAGGAAGTAGTTTGGTCAAAGCTCACTCAGAGGCAGTGGAACACAGTCCCTATTTATTAAAGAGCAACAAGGCTGTTTCTGAGACCATCAGGTTCCCCTTCCCCCTCACCTACCTTCCTTTCATGTTCTCACATCAGGCATGTCTTGTCTCCCTCCTAGGTGACTCTGATCCCTACTCATGACACGGAGGTGACTCGTGAGTGGTACCAACAAACTCATGAGCAGCAGCAGCAACTGAACGTCCTGGTCCTGGCTAGCAGCAGCACCGTGGTCATGCAGGATGAGTCCTTCCCTGCCTGCAAGATTGAGTTCTGAAAGAGCCGCCCTCCCTTCCCCAAGGATCCACTCCCCCAGCTCCTTTAGATAATGACTACTGCTGAGTCCTGTGGTGTTGAGGGAAATGGGAGCTAGGGGGAGGGGAGGGAGATGTCTTCTTGTGGGGACTTGGGCTGGGCTAAATGGGAGGGATTGTCCCTTCCCGTCATCCATTCCTGAGAGGGGTCTCAAACCAAAGTTAACAAGCAGAGGATGGGGAAGGGGACAAATTATGATAGGATAGCATCTGATGCCTGAGAACCCTCTCCTAGCACTGTCAAATGCTGGTATTGGATGGGGACTGAGGATAGGTCTCAGAGAGCAACCTCCTCCCTTATAGAGGGAGATTATATCCCCAACACCAAGGACCTCTTTATCTCAATCTATTTATTTGTCATCCCAGGAAGGATTTCCAATAGCAATTTATGTGACTGGGGGCAGGATACTGTCAGTGAGATGCCCAGAGCTGCACCCTTTCCTCCATCTCCCATCCCCCCATCTCCCCAGCCACCAGGGTCTGAGTTCTAGCAGGGGCCTGGGGGTATCCCACTGCTACACTGTTCTACTGCTTCGCTCAGTATCTGAATGTCTCAATTTAAAACTTGAAGCTCTTTAGACCAATAGATAGACTGGTGAGAGGAGAAAGGAGCTTATTCCCGAGCCCCTGCTGTATACCATTCATATCCCAGGGCTGTGTCCAGACAGCACAAAAGGGCAAGGAGAGCCCATTCCCAATGCCAGAATTCTTCCAAACTCCCTGACTCTTTGAAGTTTTTACTCACCCCATTTCAATTATCCTGATCCCTTCTCATCCCCTGCTTGGCTTCTCTGCATGTGGTCATCTGCTGTGGCCTGGTGTGTAATGGGTTAAAAATAAGCAACTGCCTGACATCCCAACATTTGACACCCCAGCAATGTGTGACTCCCTCAACATTCCACTATGCCATCCTGCAGCTGAAATGGGAACACTGGCTGCCTCTCCAAACCCACTCTTAGAGGATCTGGGAGGTGGAGGCCAGGCCAGAGGACTTGGGGAAAATGAGAGGGAGGAAGGAAAAAGGGAGAAGCAGCTGAGTCATAGCTTAACTCTTACAGAGTGAAGTGAAAATGGGCCAAAAATGCCACCCCAGGAGAGGACCTTGTCCCAAGCAAGCCAGTGAGCAGCCCTGTCAGACTACTGCTGGACTGAGAAACCAGAAGCTGGTAGTCACCTGGGCTCGCCTTCTCTGCCAAACTATTGGGAAACCAAAATGAGCCCACCTAGTGTTCTTCCTAGCTCCACCCTCCCCGTGCTGCTGTGCTCTGCTCCTCCCCACACTTCCCTGCTATAGTTCCCAGCTGCTGTAACGGAGCCACCTCCAACTCTAACAATAAACTGAATTCATTGCAGATGGTGTAGTGCTGCTTAGGCTTTTCTGACTCCATACATTGCTTAGTTGCTGGGAGTTGCTGGGCCCTGGCTCCTACCTCTCTGTTTCAACCAGCATTGACTTTATCTTTGAAGACTCTAATGCTTTTGATTACTGGAAACACTTGTGCCTGAGTATGGAGAATAGGAGCCTAGGGTGGGTACATACGTACATACGTCTGATTTGGAGGAGGGAAGAGGGGCAAGGGGCCTCCTAGGGGAGGGCATCTGCATTCCATGGGGGAAAGAGCTGAGGACCAAATAACCAGGATCAGATAACCTGGACAACCCCTTGGACTAAAGAGGTAAGAAGCTGAGGGATCCTAAGAGATCCAGAGCCTAATGAGGTTGGAAACAATTCTCCTTGTACAGTCAGGATTTCCATGGAGTAAAATGGTAGACTTTTCCCCCACCACAGAAACCCTTTATAGTCCTAGGTATGTCAGGAGTAGCCAGGTTATGAATATTTGGGGAGGGGCATGTTCTAGCTCTCCCACTGTTCTGGCCTCTCACATAGTAAAGATGTCAAGGGACCAGAGAAAGGGCATAGCCCCTTTATATAAACTCCTGACACTCCATCAGAGTAAAAAATTAACAGGATGATTCCAAGAACTTGGTGACAAGGCACGTACCCTCTGGTGCTTCACAGAGAGGAAGCCTCTTTCCAGTCCCCCTTCCAACACTCTCTTTCCTCATTAAAGACCTTTTGGGGGCTGGGTGCGATGGCTCACACTTGTAATCCCAGTACTTTGGGAGGCCAAGGCGGGTGGATCACCTCAGGTCAGGAGTTGGAGACCAGCCTGGCCAACATGGTGAAACCCCCTCTCTACTAAAAATACAAAACAATTAGCTGGGTGTGGTGGTGGGTGCCTGTAATCCCAGCTACACAGGAGGCTAACACAGGAGAATTGCTTGAACCCGGGAGGTGGAGGTTGCGATCGAACCATTGCACTCCACCCTGGGAGAGAAAGGCGAGACACGACCTCAAAAAAAAGAAAAAAAAAAAAAAAAAAAGACCTTTTGAGATAGTGATTTGATTGCTATAGGCACCTCTTGGGATGTCTAATCTATATATTTTTATAGTCTATTTTTGGATGCCTGATCTCTGTATTTTTACAGCCCATTCCTGTTCAACTATAATGTCTTTTGACTGATTAAGATTAATCAGTTACAGACACAATTGACTCACAGTCATACTGATTTTTTTTTTTT